CTCGGCTCCTCCAGACGGCTTCGATTGCGGACCAGATTCCGAAGTCACTGGGCGCGTAATCTCAGCAGAATGGGGAGCCTCAGACAGTGGTTGACGGAAAAAACAGTTACAAGAGTAAATGTGGACACGTGATTATATTACCTTTTATGGTAAATAAACCCAGAAGTAGCTCGCCACTCTGGATTATGTTTGTTCTAGAAATGCCACTTGAAGCACTTATATGAGAGAAACTATTAAGGATTATTAATTTTCAACTGCCCAGCTTATATTGTGTGATTATCAGCAAGCTTTAGCTAATACATGGTGTCAAAAATCGTACCTACGCAAAGATACACAGCATCATAGGTGGGCATGATCAATATACTGGCAAAAATCCATCCAAAATACGAGAAATTTACAGTGAGATAAGCATAAAAGGTAAAAAAAAGACGTAAAAGGTAAAAAAATAAAAAAAAATAAAAAAAAATAACTTTGTTATTATATCCATGATATCCTTAACAGACATCAAGAGGTCAATATAAATTAACAGCTTAAAATATATACACATTTAGTACAAACAACATAGTTTAAACCAGTATATGTGTTTTACAGCTTACCTTCAGCTTCTGGTTTAGCATTTCGGCATGAGCTTAAGATCAAACGAGCTCAAAGGCGAATGAGTGATGACAGATGTCAAAATAAGTATAAATCGTTTAATAAACATTTATGCGTAATTCTTACATTGTTTTTTGATTGTATATCCTTGTTCCCAGGTCTAGAGAACATCGAAATTACAGATCTTATGTTGCCACTACGTGCACTTTGGCTGTCCCAAAAGACAGCGCTGTCTTTCAAAATTTATTTATTGTTACTGAGGGGTGATTATTTACTTTTTTGTGTTTTTTGTTTTTGTTTTACGAGTGACCCAAGAGCAATGTGAAAGAGTCACAATTGCGACAACAAGTCGAAAGAAGTATTTTTTATGAAAGAAAGCACACTGTTTTTAAACGGCCAGCGTTTGAAAGTATAGTTGTCATACGATTAGATTGCAGAATGGAAGCACCGTTGTGAATGTGAAAGGTTGATCGTCAAAAACTTGTCTCTATTGAGATCTCCAGATCCCAAGTAAAATACAAGCAACAATGAAAACGAATGATAAAGAAGTGGCGACAGTAAATTTTCTTGCTTTTGTAAGTCATTTGAATTAAGCGAAACGCGTATAGCCAGTATTCTACCAGGTTGAATTAGCACGTCCGTAAAAGGTGGTCACTGGCTTTGGAGGGAACAAGGAATCACGCAATATAGTTCCGAATTGTGTTGGTTGATCGAATGCTTGAATACATGTGGACATTTAGGACTCAAGAAAACGACGGAAATTGATAGACCCAGTAGACTATATACTGGAACCCAGGAGACGACGAAAGTTACCAGTAGGTTGCATATACGCATTGGTTATTGCGACCCCAAATTTACGAAGTAGCTTAGGGGAATATAGTCTCACGATCAGATTGTTGTTGCAGAATATGTGTATTGGGACCCACGATGAAGAAAATCTCGTACCAAGACCTTAGACATACGGACGCTGTGGTGAGGGAAAACCACAGAAATGATTGACTCAGAGGCCGGAATAACAGGAGTATTGGAAGCTGGAATAATAATTGAAGCTAGGCACAACTGCAGTAACATAGCTAATGACAAGTCAGACTGACTAAGATCATAGGTAGGTAAGGAATCCATTAGAGAAAAACAGAATTGTGAACGAATTTGTTGTTAACGGATGAAATCTCTGTCTTTTTGTTGGAAATAGAAGTGGCAAATCGCTTACAACTTGAAAATAGCAGAGACAAGTTATGCCTAAAGTCATTTATCCCAAGAATAGGGTGGATATTTTGATGAAGAAAAAAACTAAAGCAAATAATAAAGGAATGGGATTGTGAGCTCTACTAATGATGACAAGATGGTTTTAACTAAACTTGAGATTTTTGAAAGAGAAAAAGAGATCGATTAGAGACCATACGCAAAAAGCTGTCAATTTCACATTTTTCAATAGTAGAGATTTTTTTAATATAAAGTACCAGGTGATTATAAAGAGTAAATGGGGGATTATCTACTACTACTGTGGTACAACTTGCAAGAAGAAAAAAACAAAAAAAGAGCAAATAATCTCGCATGAACACATTACTATCAAAGGCTGTCAATATCGGGTCAACATCACATTGTTCAATAGTAGAGAATTTTTTTTTAATCTAAAGTCCCAGGTGATTATAAAGAGTAAATGGGGGATTATCTACTACTACTGTGGTACAACTTGCAAGAAGAAAAAAACAAAAAAAGAGCAAAAAATCTCGCATGAACACATTACTATCAAAGGCTGTCAAAATCGGGTCAACATCACATTGTTCAATAGTAGAGAATTTCTCTTTAATCTAAAGTCCCAGGTGATTATAAAGAGTAAATGGGGGATTATCTACTACTACTGTGGTACAACTTGCAAGAAAAAAAAAAAAAAAGAGCAAATAATCTCGCATGAACACATTACTATCAAAGGCTGTCAATATCAGGTCAACATCACATTGTTCAATAGTAAAGAATTTTTTTTAATATAAATTCCCAGGTGATTATAAAGAGTAAATGGGTGATTATCTACTACTACTGTGGTACAAGCTGGCAAAGGGAGAGAAAAAGAGGGCGCGATGTAACATTATTTATAAGGATTCAGTGATGATATTTTCCGGTAGCGACGGTGCCAAAAGCAGTGAGCTTTTTTAATATGTATATTTAAAAAAATGATTTTGTTGGTAGCATTTAAAGATGGTAGAGCGTTCGATCCATCGATCCATCCATCCAGCTCAGCTCAATTTTTATTTTTTTATTTTTTTATTTTTTTTTATTTTTTATTTTTTTTCATGCATGGATGGATGAATGCATTAACAGGGACGATATAAAACAAAAGGGATGGATAATTTGGCTTGAATGATGAAAGAGAAAATTACGTCCGGGAAGGTCAACTTCAGCGTATCAACCGCATCCATTAAAACCATGGTGACGGTGATGTAAATTCAACTCCTAATGATAAAGCAAGAGATCATCAAAGTCTCGTATGATCCAAATGTGTACATATTGCACTACCTGATTTAGGAAGCATTGGCCTAACTACCGGTCAACCATGGCCAATGCCCTTTAAAAAGCGATTGATCTCTTTTGTCTGTAGCCAGATTTTTCAGCAATGTCTACTGAAGATACACTCATGTCACCGCTTGGATATTTCTTCGTTGTTATAGCTTGTAACCATAGGCTTGGAAAAGATGCAGTTTTTCCCTGCGTTAAATTTTCTTTATGGTAGGGATATGGCGCTAGTACGGATTTAGATGTAGAAAAGCGACAGTTGTTATTAATTTACAAATGTGATAGTGAGTACCAGACTTCAATTAATCAGCATAAGCTAACTATTGTTCATAAAAGAAAGAAGAAAAAAAAAGTGTTCTGAGAGTGATTTTAAAGGAGATACAAATCCAGTAGTATACCATGAATGAGTAAATAATACAGTGCTTTTAGATGTAAAAAGCTAAATCGTTTTTTTCAATGAGCTTCTACAAAATTTTGTGAAAAGATAGATACAAAAGGTAACAGACAGTGACGAAAAGAGGGGATATTACCTGGTAATAATTATATGATGGTTTTTATTGTTTTTATGCATGATTCGATCCTGTGTAATACCACTTAAAGCACTTATATGAGAAACTATTATGGATTATTATTTTTCAACTGTCCAGCTTAAATCGTGTAATTATCAGCAGGCTCCAGATAATATATGGTGTCAATATTGGTTTATGGGCAGTTTCTTGGTATTCTTTTCCAATCTTGACGCTGTCATTGATTTACCTGTCATGATCCTGTTAGATCTTATGCCACAAATATGCTTTATGAGTAACCAGCTTTCAGACTCAATATTTATCATTGATCTATCAGCTCTTTAAATCCTTTGTCATGATCCACATAAGCTATGGCTAACTTTTGTCATTGCTTATTCTTTTATTTAATTTCTTGTTTTTCTTTCTCTATAAATATAGCTGATAAATTTCACTTCTCCCAGTTTTCTTTATCAGATATATTTCATAATCATCTTCTCTTTTCTTTTCTCCCTTTTATTCTTAAATAAATAACCTGCTCCAAGAAGCTATTCATTCTCTGTCCTGTCCTGCCTGTCTCGTTCCTCCCTCGTTCCTGACATTACCAAACATCGACGTTCGTTTTTTTTTTTTTTTTTTTTTTATAAAATTCATCACATCAATGGCTATATGTGTAGGAGACTAAGTAATGCCTTATGAATAAATCACTGCTTTTTATCCATACATAGCCGAAAAAAATTAGCTTTCAAAAAGAGATGAAATTCCAACATTGTACGCGTATTTGGAACCAGAAATTTGGGAATGTCAGTACGATGTTATAGGCGCGGAATTTAAAAATGATAAAAAAAATAAAAAAAAAGAGTGTCCTCGGCTCCTCCAGACTGATTCGATTGCGGACCAGATTCCGAAGTCACTGGGCGCGTAATCTCAGCAGAATGGGGAGCCTCAGACAGTGGTTGACGGAAAAAACAGTTACAAGAGTAAATGTGGACACGTGATTATATTACCTTTTATGGTAAATAAACCCAGAAGTAGCTCGCCACTCTGGATTATGTTTGTTCTAGAAATGCCACTTGAAGCACTTATATGAGAGAAACTATTAAGGATTATTAATTTTCAACTGCCCAGCTTATATTGTGTGATTATCAGCAAGCTTTAGCTAATACATGGTGTCAAAAATCGTACCTACGCAAAGATACACAGCATCATAGGTGGGTATGATCAATATACTGGCAAAAATCCATCCAAAATACGAGACATTTACAGTGAGATAAGCATAAAAGGTTAAAAAAAGACGTAAAAGGTAAAAAAAAAAAAAAAAAAAAAATAACTTTGTTATTATATCCATGATATCCTTAACAGACATCAAGAGGTCAATATAAATTAACAGCTTAAAATATATACACATTTAGTACAAACAACATAGTTTAAACCAGTATATGTGTTTTACAGCTTACCTTCAGCTTCTGGTTTAGCATTTCGGCATGAGCTTAAGATCAAACGAGCTCAAAGGCGAATGAGTGATGACAGATGTCAAAATAAGTATAAATCGTTTAATAAACATTTATGCGTAATTTTTACATTGTATATCCTTGTTTCCAGGTCTAGAGAACATCGAAATTACAGATCTTATATTGCCACTACGTGCACTTTGGCTGTCCCAAAAGACAGCGCTGTCTTTCAAAATTTATTTATTGTTACTGAGGGGTGATTATTTGCTTTTTTGTGTCTTTGTTTTTTTTGTTTTGTTTTGTTTTACGAGTGACCAAGAGCAATGTGAAAGAGTCATTGGGACAACAAGTCGAAAGAAGTATTTTTATGAAAGAAAGCACACTGTTTTTAAACGTCCAGCGTTTGAAAGTATAGTTGTCATACGACTGGATTGCAGAATGGAAGCACCGTTGTGAATGTGAAAGGTTGATCGTCAAAAACTTGTCTCAATCGAGATCTCCAGATTCCAAGTAAAATACAAGCAACATTGAAAACGAATGATAAAGAAGTGGCGACAGTAGATTTTTTTGTTTTTGTAAGTCATTCGAATCAAGCGAAATGAGTATAGCCAGTATTCTACCAGGTCGAATTAGCACGTCCGTAAAAGGTGGTCGCAGGCTTTGGAGGGAACAAGGAATCACGCAATATAGCTCCCAATTGTGTTGGTTGATCGAATGCTTGAATACATGTGGACATTTAGGACTCAAGAAGAGGACGGAAATTGATAGACCCAGTAGACTATATACTGGCACCCAGGACACGACGAAAGTTACCAGTAGGTTGCATATACGCATTGGTTATTGCGACCCCAAATTTACGAAGTAGCTTAGGGGAATATAGTTTCAAGATCAGATTGTTGTTGAAGAATATGTGTATTGGGACCCACGATGAAGCAAATCGCGTACCAAGATCTTAGACATACGGACGTTGTGGTGAGGGAAAACCACAGAAATAATTGACTCAGAGGCCAGAATAACAGGAGTGTTGGAAGCTGGAATAACAATTGAAGCTAGGCTCGACTGCAGTAACATAGCTAATGACAAGTCAGACAGACTAAGACTATAGGTAGGTAAGGAATCCCTCAGAGAAAAGGGAATTGTGAACGTATTTGTTGTTAACGGATGAAATCTATGTCTTTTTGTTGGAAATAGAAGTGTCAAATTGCTTACAACTTGAAAATAGCAGAGAAGAGTTATGCCTAAAGTTAATTATCCCAAGAATAGGGTGGATATTTTGATGAAGAAAAAAACTAAAGCAAATAATAAAGGAATGGGAGTGTAACTTCTCAGAGTGTGATTTCTATAACTGATTGGGATTGTGAGTTCTACAAATGATGAAAAGATGGTTTTAACTAAACTTGAGATTTTTGAAAGAGAAAAAGAGATCGATTAGGGACCATACGCAACAAGCTGTCAATTTCACATTGTTCAATAGTAGAGAATTTTTTTTGATACAAAGTCCCAGGTGATTATAAAGAGTAAACGGGGGATTATCTACTACTGCTGTGGTCCAACTTGCAAGAAAAAAAAAAAAAAGAGCAAATAATCTCCCATGAACACATTACTATCAAAGGCTGTCAATTTCGGGTCAACATCACATTGTTCAATAGTAGAGAATTTTTTTTAATATAAAGTCCCAGGTGATTATAAAGAGTAAATGGGGGATTATCTACTACTACTGTGGTACAAGCAGCCAAAGGGAGAGAAAAAAAGGGCGCGATGTAACATTATTTATAAGGATTCAGTGATGATATTTTCCGGTAGCGACGGTGCCAAAAGCAGTGAGCTTTTTTAATATGTATATTTAAAAAAATGATTTTGTTGGTAGCATTTAAAGATGGTAGAGCGTTCGATCCATGCATCCATCCAGCTCAGTTCAATTTTTTTTTTTTTTGATGTTTTTTTTATTTTTTTTATTTTTTTTTTTCATGCATGGATGGATGAATGCATTAACAGGTGACGATATAAAACCAAAAGGGATGGATAATTGGCTTGATATGATCGAGAAGACCAAATATTACGTCCGGGAAG